AAATAATTCAGGGATTTTTAGATTGTACTTCCCCCTCAGAATTATTCTGATTTAAACCACGGACCTATAACAATTCTAAATTATAAAAAGCTCTACTTATAACACATATACTTGTCCGTGAATTGACATCAATTCCAAACTGGCACTTACTCCACCTGCTGTACAGTAGAGTTAGGAATTCTGGGAGTGGATTGAACAATAAAAACCTCAAAAATTTACAGCCAATCAACCAATATCGTAAAAGAGATGATCAATCAAGTGGTATTCGTCAAATTTACCAGAGTGTTCTGATTGGTATCTCTTTTGATATCATATCTTTCTGGTATTATATTTTTTTTCCAATATTAAACATTAAATTATCCATAAAACTCAATTTAGAAAGATTATAAATACAAATATATACAATATATATATAAAATAATACAAAATACAAAGTTTTACACTCTACATATTTGTATTTGTACTCCTGATATCATTGTCTTTTTTAACTTAATTATTCATAACTTTTTTCAACAGAGAACGATGGATTCATCAATGCCTCGACATGGATCTATGAGCGGAAGGCTGACTTCCTCTCATCAACCACCTTCTTAGCTTCTCTGAGTCTGAGGAGTACATACTTGAATCCGATCTCTAATGTATTATTGTTCACCATTGTTGCCCTATGCCGTTTGATGATGCTTACAATACTTCACGGTGGAGTTGTCTTGGTTCCTTTTGATGCTCTCAATAAGGAGTTTAGGTGTTGGAATGGTTGATGTCTATGGCCTCTTTGACTGCTTCCTTTGCTTTGCTGTTGCCCACATCTCAGCGACATTGATGATATTCTCTCAAATCTGGCATAGCGTTGCATGCATGTCCTCGGAGTGTGATGATGCCTCCACCAGCTGTTCAATCCAGACCTCCATGCCCATAGGAATTCTATTCACAGGAATTCGATGTGCGGGTAGGAGATCCAAAACACCCAGTTGCTTCCTTCTTTTCATCACCATTCAATTAAAAAATTGTAGCAGTGGCCCACGTTGAGTAAAGCTAAGCTTATAACCACCAAACACAAAGAAATCTGTTTTTCTTAAGGGCAAATTTCTTAAATTATCTTTATGGTTTAGTTAATTGACTAATTCCATCTCTACTGTCTACATATTATCTTAAAATACCTTTATTGTTTCTAACAATTGGTATTGTCATTAAGCACTAACAAAAAAACAATTGGTATCTCATTTCTCAAATTTTCAAAATAAAAACCCACTTGATGAAGATGGGTTTCAAAACTTACCTCTATCTCCCCCACCATTAAAGTTCCAACATTTCTGCCTCTCTCTCCCTCTCCCAACCCCTTGCTCTCATTCTTCTCATTTAATTCCTCCATTTCCATCTAAAATACCTCAACCAACCTGAAGGAAAATTTTGTGAGAGAGATCAAAATCACAGATTTTTAGCACTTATTTTCTTAATGACCACTATGTCAGTACCCAATGCTGGTCCCTTAGACATTTTTAACACAAAGTGACCAATCCAATCTGATCAGATCTGACAGGATTCGATTTGAATTTGAATCATATTGATAAGTTAGATCTTTGGATCAGATCTAATCTGACTTTTTTTCTTTAAAAATTAATAAATTATTAAAAGAAAAATAAAATATGCTAATTTAAATAAAGTAAAAAATAAAAAATATAAGTATTTTTTAATTATTTTCATCATATATATACATGTATTTAAAAAAAATAAATAATATAACAAATTTATAAAAAATACAATATAAACAATATATTTATAAATAAATAAATAACATATATATATTATATTTATATTTATAAATATATAATATATATCGGACCGGATCTTCTCGGATAGGATTGGGGTGATCCAAACCCGATCTGATTTCTAATTAGATTCTATTATATGACACGTCTCGACCCAAATAAGGGTGATCTGAATTCAACCAAATAGGATTGGATCTCGGATTGAACAGATCATGATCTGATCCATTTGCACCCCTAGGGGGGAGGGGGTTAATTCCATGCTTTCTAACTAAAGTGACTCTCATATGTGATGTTACAATTATTCTCTATATCATTAATAAAATAATTAGTGTCTATCACACTTGTTTTTGTTTATATGCTTAATATATAATATTATAGATGTGCCCACATTTTTTTCATTCTTTTTTATTATTCTATTTAAAAAAATATATTATTTAAGTATACATCATGGGTTAACCAATTTGGTCTGAAAGGTTGAACCACTAACCACCCCTAGATAGGTAAGTGATTTCATTTCCCATTGGTTTTAAGTTCTATATTCTAAGTCCATCATAAATAAAATTATGTATTTTATCATACTAATATTTTTTTTTAATATGACAAATATATAATAATATAAATATGTCCAATATTTTCAAATTTTCTTTATTTTCTATTTTTTTTGTATTTTTATATTCCTATGTTTGTATTATTTATTCATGACATCATGGAATAATCCATTTGACCCAAATGGTTGAACTACTTACCCACCACCTAGATGGAAAATATTATTTAATTTCTATGCTTATTTTATAAATATAAAATTTAATTCTACTAATAATTATTGTGTATGGATTTATTAGTGGAATTCAATGATGAGAAACAAAAGTACAAATGTTTGATTCAATGAGAGAGAGAATGTGATTTATTTAATGCATTAAATGTGAGACTTAATGAAAGATAGTTGAATGTACTCAATAGCAATGTTTTAATTACATTTTTTGTCCTATTAATGAAGATGAACCAAATTCAAGATGAAGGATATTTTAGTGAAAAAAATTCCAGAAACCCAATATCTCATTCTTATATAGTACAAAGTGGCAAAGTATAGTTTGCCCGTTTTTATATGCAAATCATTTTTGAAAAGATATTGTTCGGGTCATGGTCAAGCTCGATCCGGACGCCACGTGGCTGCCCAACCACCTTGGCCACGTTAGAACCATGCTGCCTCCGCGGCCACGTCAGCGCCATGCCACCTTCATGGCCCCCACATTATCCCCTCAGCCACGACAACTCCACGTCATGCGGATAAGCATGACTACAGGAAAGCGGATGGGGATAACTCCGCTGGGGATTAGGTCTTATTCCAAAAACCTTGGCGGCTAACGTCATCCCGACAACCCCGGAAGCTTCATCCAACAAGGATACGGATCTTCGGCTATAAAAAGGTACCTCCTACTCAAGGTAAGGGATTCAACTGTTAGCTCTCATATCATTACTCTACTCGAACTAGCATTGTTCTCCATCTGCTCGGCCCGATCACCTACCGTCTTCTACTGACTTGAGCGTCAGAGTACCTACCCGGGGATAACTCCTCGGGCCTCTGATCTCTCTCTTAATTGCAAATCTTGGAGCGCGGCTTCGTCCTTCCACCTCGGCTCCGCCCAGCTGGCAAGGGTCATTTGACTGTGACCTCAATTCTTGCACCACCTAGGATCGAACAACATCAGATACCATATGAGCAATACTGATCTTAAACCACCCATCCACTTGTAAAAATGTCGATTTGAATGGTCTACAATCACATGGTGCCTAACACCCTATGCACAAACATTGTGCAACCTTTCAAATTAACACCAGTTCCCTAAGGTTGTATTTGGTTTCGCAGAAAACAAGAAGTTGAGGGAAAATTCTAAAAAGTTTCCCCTCAAATTTATATTCCTTTCTTATTTACTATTAAATCAGGCACAACCAATAGATTTTTCCAACCTTAAACCTTAAGTCTATGTTTGGTTTGATAGAAAGTAAGAGAGAGGAAATTAAGAACTTTCCCTCAAATTTCTCTTTCTTCCCAATTTTATGTCAAACCAAACACAACATAGACGCCCATGGCTTATATCATGCTGACATGGCGATATCTCAAGTAGAAACTGAAACACATCACCAAAAACTATCACAAAAATCATCATATGTAAGAAAGTTAAAACTCATTCTTAGAAATGGGTAATCTAGCCTTTAATTTCAAGTTCATTTAAAAATGGGCCTAGGCCCACGTACCATTTTTTTTCTGAATAACTAACTGGCCCACATACAAAAGGTAAGCCCCATTTAGAGATGGGTCCCATTCCTAGCATAGAATATATGGTCCTGATTGTCCCATCAAGTTGACTTCTGATCCAAGAAGAATTTACCCGTTAGAAATCCGTGGGACCAAGCATATATGCCACGTGTACTAAGATTATGCTTATAAATATTTAACTGGAATAATGAATTCCATTATGTTAATTCCTTTCTAATTGTATTTTTATCATAAGTCATAGAGGATGACCTGTGACCTTTATTATAATAAATGAAGCTGTGACCTCCAAAATCTAGATATTGAGATACGTCACACATTTGGCAATTAGCTCAATGAACCCCACCCAATTATCTTAATCTAAGGCCCCAGTGCATTTCATACAAGAAATTCGAGGCCCATTACAAGTTCAGCAAGGGTTAGGGCAGGCTGTGATGCATGATCTGACAGCACAGTCAATTGAATTTATTTTGGACAGCCATTCGATTAGATTGACCATCGATCAATGGTGGGGTCAGGGGTGGGTCTCAAATCCGTTTACCATCAATATCACAGATTTTTATTATTATTATTATTATTTTTTGATAAAGAATCTCACAGATATTCCCTAAAATAGTTCCAGTCAAATTTATTTTCATAAAAATACATGCATGGGTAGTACAGTAATTTCGGCCGTCACTTAATAAACCATATATGACGTCGGACCCACATGCCGACTGCCGAGCTTCCAATAGAATATCGCCACGTGCATAAAGAGTTTTTTGGCGGGAGCAGACTTTTGATACCACTCGGATGCTTCTCGTAGCCTGTCGGCAATCGATGTTTAGCTGTCCGTGAAAACCAGCTGCGCACTCGCCACGTGGGATTTTCTGATTGGTTGGAATAATCCCAATAATTTTCTATCACGTGAATTAGGCAACGCACGAGTATATATACAACCTAGAGAGAGACTGAGAGAGAGTGTGTGTGTGCGCGCGCTTACGAGAATCGAGTTCGGAGAGAGAAAGTGTCGGCAACTGATGAAGCCGTAGAAATTATTTTTTGCCGGAAGAAGCCAAGAAGAGTCGCCGGAAAACTCTATACTTGAGAGTGTCTCCGACGGCACTTCAGGCGGGAATTATGGAAAAGATTTTGAGACGAAAGAAGAGCTTTAATGGTAAATTGAGCGAGAGCCCAGCCACAACGACGTCGTCGTCGTCGACGTATAATGAAGAAGAAATCGAGTGGGAGATGCGACCCAGCGGAATGCTGGTGCAGAAGAGATGCGAGAAATCTGAAGTCTCCGCTCCGAGCTTACGGCTTCGGATCGCTTACGGCGCGTTCCGATACGATATCTCCATCAGCTCTCAAGCAACCTTCGGTACGATTACCGGATCAATTTCTTTTATTCTATTTTCTTTTCTCGAATTCTTTCGATTTTTTCTGGACTTGGCGGTGATTTTCTAAATTCGTAAGATTTACGTCCGACTGTTATTTATTCAATGTTTGAATTTCCCAAATTTCGTTGAAGGAGTTCAATCCCAATACGGCTAAAAATAAGGAGATTTTTGGAAGTTCAGACAGAAATGCTTATGCTCCAGAAAACGTACAGATTTACCAACCACTCGTATTTTCTCATTTGACCATAATGCCCTCTCGAAAACCGAACGTCACCACCAACACTTTCTTTTTTTTGCTGAAAATAATTAAGAACTGGAGGATAAAAAAGGTAATTTAGGCGGGCAATGTTTGAGGCTGGTTTTTGCTGTTTTCTGGGCAGGGGAACTGAAGAAGCTGCTATCGGCGGAGACGGGGCTGCAGCCGGGAGAGCAGAGGCTGATATTCCGGGGGAAGGAGAGGGAGAACGGAGACTATCTGGACATGTGTGGAGTGAAGGACAGATCGAAGGTGGTTTTGATCGAGGATCCGTCAAGCAAGGAGAAGAGATACATCGAGATGCGAAGGAACGCGAAGATCCAGAGCATCCATAGAGCCATCTCCGACGTCTCCTTGGAAGTGGACAAGCTCGCAGACCAGGTACGTCCAAGTTACTGTTATTTCATATTTTATCGTTTTCTCTGTGACGATTGACAAATCACTCATCCTGCCCGACAGCCCGATTGTTCCTCCAAGGGTAAAACAGTCTTTCCCTATCATGAGGGCTGTTTGGGAAGCCTAACACATCGAATCAATCAATTTATCTTTCTTCTTCGTGTCTTTCTTGGGGCTTCTTGCCTGAAATGAGGTGTCTTCATAAGAAGTGAATTCCAACCCATGTTTCCAAACATGCCTTAAAAAAGTTGGGAGTGTGATATGTAGAATGGATGTAGACGATTCCTTGGTTCAAGTCAGACCCTACCCTACAATGCAATAGATTATTTCTCTTTTTTTGATTAATACCAGACTTTCCCATGTGAAACTGCAGTTGTTGATTCTCTTCACAATTTCTTAATCTTGATTAGAAAAGAAGGGAGGGATTGAATGAGAAGAGTCTAGCTAGGGTGAGTTGTCACAAGACTGCAACACATGGCCTCTGGCCTCCTTAATTTGATCCTGTTACTCAAAAAGATTTCCACAACCACGCTAACAAGAATAAGAAGGAGAAGAGCAGAAAAAAGTGTTAAGTAACAAGAGATTGGTGCTTTATATTCAGAATTAACAAATGAGTGGTGGGCCTCGTAGCATGTTTTTGTATAAAACAAGGAACTGAAGGAAGATATTTTAGTGGAGTAATTAAACCGAATTCCTTGCTTCTTGTCCTATATTTGTATAGTAAATTCTCTATAATGAATTGACTCACATTATTGTTCATGACGCTTCCCAGTGTACACACATGTATGTTACAGTTGCAGCCATTAATAATATTAGTTGGCTGGATCTGGTGAACAGAACATGGCCCCATTGAATTATTGGAATCATAATTGAGCCATGACTGCTTCACCACCTCTATCTGAGGCATCCCCAGATTCTCAACCACTTGTTTGCCTAATGGGTTCCTTTCTCTCAATAGGTTTCTGCTATTGAGAAATCTATTGCAAATGGGACGAAGGTGCCGGAAGTTCAGATCACAACTTTGATCGAGATGCTCATGAGACAGGCAATCAAGCTTGATAGCATTCCCACTGAAGGGGATGCTTCTGTCCAAAAGAATTTGCAGGTAATATATTATGCCCCTCAAACCTCCAAGTCTTCTTGTATTTGAGACCAAGGAAGCATAATCAGAATAGTGGGTTTGTGGTATAATTTCATACCCTTGTCAACTTGGTAAATTAGGGTGGTCCTGCTAACCCTGTTTTAGGAATCATTTTTAACCTTCTTCACAATCTTATGTGAAGATTTCATCAAGAAACCTGCCTTCCAGGTGTTTGTTATTTTGCTAAATGAACTGCCTGTTTGGAATTTGCTAATCCATGCTTCATGGAATTCTGCAGGGCAAGAGAGTGCAGAAGTGTGTTGAAACCTTGGATGTGCTCAAGATAAAAAACGCCAATATAAAGCCAGTTGTTGTGACTACCAAGTGGGAAACCTTTGATCCCCCAGCTACGACACATTGGGAATTCTTTGATTGATCTTCTTTCATTTTTACTCATTCATTCTTATGTAAAAGGACCCAAAAAGAAGCATCTCTCGTTGTGCTTATAGCCGTTGATACCCTTGCCAAATAAGCCTAGTCTGCTTGATTGGTTGGAAACACAGAATTTTGCTGATCACACTTAGCCATGGCCTTTTTCCCCAGAACTCGTTGTAAACAATAAATTGCTATCTCCTTTCTTTTCCATGTTCATTGCATTCAGAGAGAGAGAGAGAGGGGAAGGGGGGGTTATTGTCGAATTACTTGTCAGATATAATCAATTATGAGTTGGTTCTAGGTCAATTATGTGCACTCTTTGTCCCAATGACAGCTTTAAGTCATAACCAATTGATCAATCAAAACAAAAATCGGGCCGGCTGGAATCAAACTACTTTCGCTGTACCTGTTTTGGAGTTCCTGAATGACTCGTTAAAGTCAATCGGAAAATACAAACAACAGCACTAAAGCACATCATACGCTATTAAACACGCAACAGGACTCCGCACGACCAATATCCGAAACCGATCTAATTATTGAAATCTGAAATACGATCGGATTTGAATCCCATCAGATTCGGGTGGGATTCGCCACCTCGCCAAGACAAGGGCACTCAGCCTCGAAGAGGCCCCGAAGCTCGGCCTCAGCCTCGGCCTAACTTCCTTGGAAGGGATGAGGAACAAGCTAAGAGAGTTAAGGCGTTCGCCTCTCTTTCCTTCTCGATAAGGAAATGGGCCCCATGTCCTCGGTGACAAAGCTCGACTTCGGCCTGGTTCACTTGAGTTCTTGAACGAGTGGTTTAGTGAGCGACGAATTTTTGCAACTTGCGGCTTCTTGGAAGGGAACATCGCCCTACGCACATAAAAAGGAAAAAAAAAAGAATGCAAACACAAAAAGGCACAAGATACTCAAAAATTATATTTCAGGACGACCTTCAAATCTTGGCGTTCCCTTCGGCTAGCATAGGCTGCTCCCCCAACAGGTTGACCCTCTAGCGGGTACACTTCCCTGGCTCGAAGCCTCATCATCTCAGACGTCTACAGTCCGTCGATGCTCAACACGCCTCGACGGCCTCCTCGGCGCCTCTTGCCAGCCTTGCGCCCCTCCTCGGCCAGAGGCCTCTCCTCATCGGATTAGAGCCTCATCACCCCGGATGCTTGTAGCCTCTTGTCCGCCGCCCTCAACGCGCCCTTCAAAGTCTTTACTAGCTCCTTCCTGGCTGCGGGCTCAACCTCAAGAGCCTTCCTTAGCTCCCGTTCCTCGCACATGGTCGAAACGATTGACCCCCAGCCACTCTGCCTCAATTGGTGCAGTAGAAAGGCAAGAACAAAAAACTTCTCTAAATAAGAGAGCAAATACTCATCTCAGCCATCCTTACAGACATTATGGCCGAGGTGCCCTCCCGGCCGAAGTGCCCTCCCGACCGAAGTGCCCTCCTGGCCGAGGTGCCCTCTTGCTTGGTGCCACCCCTCCTCGAAGCCCGTTTCCCAAGTTGCCCCTCGCCTGGCGTCTTCTTCAGTGGCTTATGGCTGAGGTGCCCTCCTGGGCAAGATGCTTTCTTGCCCGACGCCTCCCCTCCTCGAAGCCCGTTTCCTGGACTGGTCCTCGCCTGGTGTCTCCTTTAGCGACTCCTAGTCGAGGTGCCCTCTCGCCCGATGCCTCCCCTCCTCGAAACCCGTTTCCCAGACTGGTCCTGGCCCAACACCCTCCTCAACGACTTGGCCTTCTTGAAGTAGTAAGCCCTCGGCGTTCAACGACATCCCTGCAAAAGTGTGACAAGCAAGTAGGTGCTGACGAACAAGAAAGTAAGTTGACGTGTTAAGCCGATAGTAGGATCCTCCCACCAAGGTGAGCGGAGCCGAGGCCATCTCATTCCAAAGCTTCCTCCTCCACTAGGAGCTCGGCTTGGATCTTCCCCAATCCGGCCTAAACGACCAGCCCCCGATACAAGATGTAAAGAAATACTCCATCCATCTCATTCACGGACAATACCCGACACAGAAACTTGTCTCGTGCATGGCCACAGCATGACCACCCATCGTGCATACCTTGCACGATGGTGACCGGCTAGGGTCGACGCTTGACCAATGCACTGACTTGTTAGCTCATTCGTGAAGCACATGACTGGGGGACACATGTGCCTCATACCCGCACAAGACACGATACTGAGCTCTTTGAAGTCGAGGCTAATGCCTTCGTTTCTCGGCCCTCCATGGCCCTCTCAAAAGGCAGAATCAACGAAGTAACTACTACTAAGACAACGGAAGCCCCCTGAAACCGAGGATAATGTCCACACGCTCACGAACCGGGCTACCTCCAACGGAGCTTAAGCCAGAGCCAACGTCTCCACACTCCCGAAATGGGCTATCCTAGCACCTCCAAAGCCAAAGCTGAGATCCTCGTCAAGGAAAGCCACTTAGTGCCTGCCAGCAAGGATGACACTCTCTTCGGCTGAAGCCGAGGCCCTCAGCTAAGACCTCCACCACGACCTCGAGAGTGGGGGGCAAATGATGTAGGCGCCCACAAGCCAGACCTATGGCACGCACACATGTGGCAGACAAAGACGCGCATGACGAACCCAATGAGGGCGCACGCAGAGCAGAGGTCGGCGTGCAGCTCAGAACCAATGATGCAAGCGCACGCGGCAACCCCATATGGTCGTGCCCCTCAAGGGCGGACCGCATCCTGGTTCTTTGCACCTGCCTACCTCTAGGTGACCTCAAGTATAAATAGGGGGCAACCCCCTCAAGGTAAACATCTGGAACCAAGAACTTGCATTGAGTACTCCTAACTTCGTTTGTGGCCTTGTTTGACTGTTTCCACCTCAGGCCTCATCCACCTCATGTTGCGCCCATACTAACTTGACCATCGGAGTCTTCGCCTCGAGTACCAACCCGGGGCCTTTGACGTTCTCCCTCCTTTGTTCCTTGCAGGACCAACCTACTAGTCTTCGACCACTCCAGGCCTTGGACTACTTGACCACGCCTTGGCTCATAAGCGAATTGATAGTATTGCCCTCGGCCCAACAAGCAATAGTCGCCTTTGTAGAAGATTGTTCACCGGAGATAGAGGATGCCTACTAATATCCCTTGCCGCTGATTGACGTCGTGGTAGGTGTATGTATGATTGAGAACAAAGAGATTTGAAGGTTGAAGAGTGAAGACTTCAAGTTTGAAAACTTGGAATAGAGCTTTGGGTTAGAGAAAAGGCCAAATGGTGGAAAAGTCGAGTTAAATAATAAAAATATTTATATATTTTTATTATATAAAGCAAAGTTGAGTCAAGTTTTCTTGACAAATCATGAGCTTTAATATCAATACTTTTTATCTAAAGTAATTAAAAACACAAAAATAATGCATGCATAGGTCATATTTAGTTTGGTTTAGTCCAATTATGAATGTTGCATTGTTCTTAAAGGTGTAATTTGGACAAATTGGATTAGATTGACGATAAACCCAAGCCTAGTCCAAAGTTTAACTTCGAATTCAGGTTTAGATTAATTTAATTATGACTAAGAAGGTTAATCTATAAATTAATTCAATTATGACTATAACCTAATTTTAATTTAGTAATATTTAAATAGTATTTACAAAAGAATGACATTTAATCACCAATAAAGTAAAATAAATAAAACAAAACATTAATAGGTAATATGGAAAAAATAATTATTTTTATTATAGAATTAGTAGTAATTAATCCAAATTACTAAATTATTTTGATAGTAATTTACTAAAATAAAAAATTATTTTAAACAATATTTATTTCCTTCCTTATTACCATTATCATTTTTTATTATTTCACTTTCCCTTAACAAATTCCATGCATCAAGTCCATAATAGATATAATTGTGTAGATCTATACTTGTAATATTTTTCTATTGCGGATAGACCTGTTCATGGGCTGGGCCGGGCTTTCATTAATTATTAACAAAATTTAATAAAGCCCAAACCTGAGCCCGACCCGACCATTGGGCCTATAATTGGAGCTTTAGCCTGACCCTCATAAAAGCCCAAAGCCTAAATTTAAATATATAATAATAATTTTGGTTATAGCCCGACCATTTGAAGTTTTCTTTAAGACCAATGATGTGGTGGACTTGGATTGCTTGGGTGGAGGAGGTGGAAGGGGTAGCAAGTGTGTGTGATCGAGTGAGAAGACTAGAGAAGTTTAAAGGTTGAAGAAAGAAAGTGTGAATATGGATTCGAAAGAGAGAGAAAAGGCCAAAAGAGGGAACAATTTGTATATATTATATAATGTATTTTTATTATATAAAATAAAGTCACGTCGGGCTTTTATGATAAATCCCAACCCTGGCTTGAAAATAAAGCGGGCTTAGTGTTTTAGGATTGACTTCAAGCCCATGGGCCTATGAGTATGTCCAAGCTTGGGCCAATAGCGGGCCAAGCCAAGCCAGGCCGTTGGACTACCCGACCCATATACAAGTCTAATGGCAAAATGGCAGGTTATTGATGTCTTGATTAAATAATCTATTTTTTGGTATTTTTTATATTTTATATCACAAATTTTAAATATATAATAGTTTTGATTATAAATAAAATCGGGGTCCCAAACTAGACCTAACTCATTCACAACTAGGGATGGCAATTTATACCCTACCCAGTGGGTACTTGCCCCTACCATACTTGACGGTGTGGGTTTTTATTTTTTCTTTTTTTTTTTTCTTAAAGGACGGTATTAAGCTAAACACTATCCTCTTTGACCCGCATATTGTTGGAAAGCATATAAACTTCATGTACCAAGTGTTAAATTTAATAATATTTTTAGTTTTATGTGAAATATAATTGATAGTTCATGTATCTACTATATGTCTTAATCAAATAATTAGAAAATTTATTGTTTATTTCTATTATTTTATTTATTTATTGCTTGTATATGATTAGAAATAATAGAAAATTAGATTAGAGTTTTAAATCCAACCCCCCTACCTTGAATGCAAGAAGGGTTTTGCATATATAGGATTTAAATTCTCAAAATCCAATCCGCTACAGGTTTCGAGGCAAATGCAGATTGAGAGATTTAGGGAGGTGAATAAGAATTCGCGTTCTATGCACTGGACGAGTGCACCCACGAATGAGAGGCGAACAAGTCATCTCAACAATCTTAACCACGGATTAATGGAGACTTTCTCCGTTATCAATGGTTCGGCTGGTTGAACCGGCCACAAAACACTCAACTCAAACCCCCTCTGTCTTCCGAACCTAGCCCTGTTAATAGATCATCGGCAACCAACACCAACGGACGCAGGCGGAAAGGATCAACCGGTGATCAATATTAAGCTGCTGCTCTTCCTCCTTCCTGCAAACTCAGTGAAGAATAGTGACTTATGATGCGACATATGAACTCCCGGATGCAACATTTGAAAATTTTTTGCTTCCATGATATATTGAATCTCCAGCAATATTGCCCTAAGCTGCTAAAATTGTCATTTTTTATTAGAGTTCTGTTGAAAATTTATCACCCAAATCAAACCTACAATATTTCCCTAATCAACCCTTTCTCAAATCAAAAGTTTATCACCTAAACCATTGCATTTCTTTGATTCTAAGATATATTCAGAGCATTCAAATAGCATGAAGAAAACAACTTCAGATCGGAGATGTTTCCACCGGTGGTTGTCCAAGTCGGTGGATGCTGTGGTCGCCGGTCCTCCTTCCAAGTGGGTTGTTTCTGTTGAAAGCAGAACAGAATAAATACTTGTAAGAGGAAGAAGAAGAAAGAGAAGACGAATAAGAAGAGAAGAAGAAGAATGAAAGAAGAAATCTACCACCGGAGCTACTTGTAATAAGAGAAGAAGAAGAAGAAAAAGAAGAGGAGAAAGAAGAAGAGAAGAGGAGGTCAGAAACGAACCGCCGGAGCTCTTCTTGTCGCCGTCGACGGAGGAAGGGTTCGGTGGAAAGAGGAAAGCTCCAGGGGAAAATCACTCAAAAATCTCGCAGTAGAAGGTATACAGGCCTTTTGATGCAACCAGGGGTCATGTTGGCTCCGTTTCGTGTCCGGTTGAACCGTCGAATTCAAGTTAACGCGCGTTTGACCGTTAACGTTTGGATGTTCGACGTGGTCGAATCCGATTGGCGGGTTCACGCGCCCAGTGAACGCGAACTCGGCGGGTAGTGTCTAAAATTCACGGCCCTGCGGAAGAAGTGATACTCACTCTAAGTGGGGGAGGGAAAAATTGCCGGTTCGCCAAAATTGAGTGTACAAATTTCGCGGGTAAAAATTGGGAAGACAACACTTCTTCTCGAATTAAATTCAAATTCTCGCGCCATTTCCCCCTTCCTTCGTCCTAGCAACTTTGCATTTTGTACTATTCCAATTCGTTCCTTATCTTCTCCTTTAAGCTTTGAAGCTGCTTTCTGAGTTCGGACCTTCATTTAGTTCCCACCTACCTGCAATTTTTTTTTAGCTCACAAAACTTCTCTCCTATCAAAATAGCTGCGGATACAGTCCGAAAATGGCGGATTTTTCTCACCTGGAGAAGATGGGTAGAGAGCTCAAATGCCCCATATGGTAATCTCCGCATCCAATACCCCTATATACTTATTTTCTGGATTGGTACTTTTTACTCGTAGTTTCTTAATATTTTCCTTTTTTTTTCATTGGGTTGTTATGATCTTCAGCGTAAATTGTAATGCCTCTGGTTTCGTACCCTTTCTTTCTGGAAACATATAGATAATTTCTTTCTTCTGGGTGTTCAACATTTTCTCCATTTCAGTTTATCCATCGGGTTTTGTCAAATATACGATTCAAGAGCCATAGGAATCAAAGTTCTATTTCTGCTTCAACTGTTTCTCTGAAAACCAATATCGTTTCTGAGGGAGCCAGCTTATCACTTTTATTTGGGTTCCCAATCTTGGCATTTTAAACACAAAATTTATGTTTAAATATCCAAAAAATTTTCACTAACTCATATGCTTTCTTGGACGAATGCTTGCATATGAATTGGTTTGACTCGATCTATTGGCTGCGGCTTCTGTAACTATCTTTGGACTCTGATATTACAAAATCTATGCCTTACTGTTGCAACTAAGTTTAAAACAGGTAATTAAAACTAGAAGTAGTTAAATCTGACTTCTATTATCCTTATCTTGCAGCTTGAGCCTGTTGAATTCAGCAGTTTCTCTAACGTGCAATCATGTATTCTGCAAGTAAGCTAAGAGTGTTTCAATTTTGTTTTTCTTCATTTGGTTTATTTATTTACTTTATATGTAGGGTAAGATAAATGTTAATCTGATAGTATTTCTATTTTCTTTATTTATCTGTAATTATAGTTTTTGTTCCTCTGGTCAGTTCATGTATTGTGAAATCAATGAAGTCAGTTTCAAGTTGCCCAGTTTGTAAAGTGCCATATCGGCGGAGAGGTATGTGGATTTCTAAATTCATTTACAGTGGAAACTTTTTTTTTCTTTGAAGAAGGGGAAACTAATTTAAGTAATATAACAGCGGTTTTGATATTATAGCCATTTTTGATACTTGAACTTTGGAAGGTAGTTTTTGAGGTATTTCTACGTTTTAATCTCCTAGAACAGTGAAATTTTGTTATGTAAGAGTTGTGCTGCACTATGATGTTTCTTCCAATTTCATGACTGGGAGAAATAAGAAACCCATTTTCTGAAGCATCAGGCCACACAGATCCCAAGTAGAAAATCAATACACTTGAAGCTAAAGGCATGTGAAGCTTCTGCCTAAACTAACTAACCTACCTGAAATAAGTAAAGCAGGTGCAGGAGCTAGAGGAAACTTGCATTTAGGGGTGCAAATGGACTAGATCATGATTCAATTTGAATTTGAGTCCAATCCTGTTTTGCTGGATTTGGATATCCCCTTGTTGGATTCTTGAGTCAGATTGGATTGAAAATTTGGATAAGATTGACTTTGATTTTTTTTTGTGTTGTTTTATGAAAAGACATGTGTACCCCTTTTTGTTTGAAATATGTGTGATAAAATGGTTGAAAATAATGCTTGTATTTTTGTTTTTATTTTTATAGTCTGTTTTTTTTTTTTTTTTTTTTTTTTTTTTTTTTTTCTGTTACCAATTTGTTAAAATTTTCAGACCTATGGATACTTAAATTGAATTGAACTGGACTTGAATATCTGACATCCTTAGCAAATTCGAATTTAAATAATTCTTTGTGGGATGTGTCAGATCATGGATTGGATCGGATATAGTATTTAAATTATCAAATTGAATTCGGGATTTCGGATAACTCCTATCTGAATTTGATTTGATCCGTTTGCATCCCAACCTGCATTAGACTTGGTGCTGCCCTTCAATTTCATTTCTTCTAATCCCTTTTCTTGTTCAAGACTTGGAGGAATCACAAAGAGGTGTGAAGTAATGTATATGGGTCTCCCAATGATGATAATTACATTACCTTTTGGAATATTGGAACAAAACATTTGTTAATTACTTTGAATGGAACCTGGAGCAGTTATTGTTTTAATGGATTATGTTGCAATGATAAATATCAACTTGAACCTTATGAGCTATAAGCATGGAAGAATCTTCCTGATGAAAACTAGTTAATTGAATGGATGGATCCAACTTCATTAGATTGAAAATAAATATTAAAACTTTAACCAAAACCCTAATTTATGCTTAGCTGCTTCTTGTTTCTTTGTATTGCAATTTGCATGTGAACACCATCTAGACTTTTGGTGTTATGAGGAATGTTCCTATGGGTAAAATTTTCATCTTTTCTTTTCACCTCTCTCTCTTGTCTGTTTTTCTCTCTGTATGTCTATTTAAATGATTTATGAGCTATTTTAACTGCAGAGATTCGCCCTGCTCCTAACATGGATAGCCTGGTAAGCATATACAAGAGCATGGAAATTGCTTCAGGAATGAATATATTTGTTACCCAGGCTGTGCCTTCAACTAAAGCATCAGGTAAAAGGCTGGAACACTTATGGGTTATCTTGGAATCATGTTGAAACATACCATTCTAAAATGACATCTTTCTGTAGAGGATACCTTAACATTAAATTGTGGAACCAAGTACACTACTCGATGTTTTATTAAATTATAGGGCTTATCAATTATAAGAGGGCTTATTGCATGATCAGAGCAACATACAACCATGATTTTGTAGCTTTTCAAATTTGGTGGATTAACTCTTTGGTTTTGCTCTATGCTTTGTCTCCACCTTGATTTAACTATTTGACTCTGGATGCATGTTTAAACAATAATTAGTTTGATACTTTCAAAATCATCAAGTGGACACTTAGCATATTATTTGTAGAACTCCCTGCTGTGCAAAGTCATCAGTTTCCCTTGACTTAAATTTTGTTATTTGAAAACCAAATTTATAGGCTAATTGGGAGGACTGAATTTGTGTGTTCATTTCATGAAAAGAATTCACTATTATAAAATCGCATAACCTTTATAGCAGTATTTAGTATTTTCAACCCATCATTGATCCAGGTGACCAAATCAATGACCCATCACCTGGTCAAAGAAAAGGTTTTGTCCAACCCCAACATGTCTGGTTACAAAAACCTCTTGAGACTTGCTTGGATTGTGAATCTCTAACCTGTTTAACCCATTTGGCAGGTAACGAGTTTTTGTGATGATTTATCTTTTTGTATGGTTTTCTTGTAGTTATTTATGATGTCATGGGTTGACTCATTGATCTGGTTCAAGATGTTCCCAATGATGGTATCATGGACTTCGAAGTGGACCAGATCTACCCACAAGCTGTTCCCACATCCCTACCCACTGGTCATTACAGCTGTTCATTGGGAATGTCTCCCTTGTCATTCATGGGGAGATGTTCCCAATACATGGTGGTGCTGTTCTGTGGGTTAGGGGTGTGGGAACAGTGTGTGGGTGGCAGAAGAGGCCTGTGAATGCACAGACTGTGTTAAAAGTGCCCATGTTCTATAGGGGAGTTGTTACATTCAATTTTCTAATATAAAGAAATCTGAATTGGCTGTGAGTGAGTTTAGATAGCCTCGTATTTGATTTTTTTTTCTTTATTTTTCCAAAATGAAGATCACAAAATTCTAAGGGGGTTTGGAAGCAATATAAAGAGGAGAGGTAATAAGCTGACATGGACATATGCTTTTTTAATTTATTTGACAAATTTCTAAAAACCAAAAACAATCTTATGATTTATGATATGATTCTCAATTTGATTTTATTCTACTTTCCCTACAATTTATGATATGATTACAATTTTAGAACATTAACTGTAGGTGGAAGTTTCTCCATTTCTCAGAGCTAATTAGTAAATCCCCAGGAACAAGATCCTTATGAAATGCATGGATGTCTACATTAAAATTCATTAGCTTTGATTCAACTTGATTGACATAGGAATCCATTCTTTTGTTCAAGTTATTAGCAGAGGACTTGAAGCTACCTGTTTATTAGATGTCCTAAGAACTCCCAATCTCCCATTCCAAAAAAAAATTGTAACCTAGTGTATATGATTTAAAAGGTGTGCCTCAGGCTCACCTAGGCACACAAGTGAGGTGCATTTTAGGGTATGCACCTGCCTAGGTCCCAAGGGTAGCACTTTCAAAAGGTGCATCCCTGATGTGCCTAGTGTGTGCCTGGTGGGCCTTGCACTTCAGCCCAGGTGTGTGCCTTTTTGAAGATATGTGCAATTTTTCTGTTTTTTTAATGCTTAGCAGCTAGGCTGCAAGCCCAAACAAATCCATATTAGGGTGTTAAATTATTAATCCCTATAAAAAGGTTTTATAACTGTGTCTTTTAAAAATATCTTTTATTAGGATGAATGAATCAGCAACATTAGAAAATGTGGGGTTTTCTCCGCTCCAGTTCAAAGCTTTGAAAACCCCATATTTGCTAAGGTTGCTCATTCAATCATCCTAATAAAGATATTTTTAAAAGACATTTAAAGTTATAAAACCTTTTTTTATAGGGATTAAGAATTTAAGACCCTGATAAGGACTTGTTTGGGCTTGCCTTGAGGGGCTTGGTACAAAGGTAGCTTGTAGAATCAGGAATGTATAATGTTTAACATCACATTATCTCTTTGAAATAATGTAATTGGGGAAAAAATAAAGAGATTAAGATTTATCAAAAAAAATACAGAGATTAAGAGTTTACATGCTCAAATATGTTTTATATGTAATGCTTGGTTTTATTTTTAAATTTTCATTTTAAATATTCTTTACAAGTTATGTTTATATATTTTAATTTGAGATAATAGGTTTTTTTTAAAACATTTATTTTAAAATTTAAGTTTATATTTTTAATTAATGTTGTGTTTAATATTTTTAATGCTTTACATTTTTTTTTTTAATGTTTGGGTGCAAAATGGTCCTTGTGCTTTTAAAACACTGCCAGTGTATGGGTTTTTACATTTCACACCCCTTTCCTGTTCCTAGTTAGAACTTAGAATGGGAAAACTAAGGAATACTTGTATACTATCTTGATTTTGGAAGGAAATATGACTGTTTTCTGACATGTCCTTATTCAAAGCTTCACTGATTGAGTGTAGTCTTCTCTTTCTGGCATGTAAATCTACATTTTTTTATCCTTCTATGTATGATGAACTCTATTTTACAGATTACCTTCCCTTTACTGCTTTAATTTTGTTGAACTATTTTTTCCTTTTCTTTGAGTGTGATACATCTGAATGCATTTTTACATGTTCTCTTTGTATTCTGAGTTTTGCTTTTGGTTTGAAAGATGGTCAGGACCAATTGGAAGGGGAAAATAACTCTGGTGGAGTGAAGACTGCTGAAGCTTCTATAAATCCAAAGAAGAAGAAAAAGTCGAATGCAAAAAATACAAAAGAATTGCTTAAAGCTGGTGCCAGAGTTCCTGATTCTATGGTGAAACCTTCCTTTTCAGGAAAGAAAAGGGTTCAAGTACCGCCGCATCTTCCGTTTGATCCATCTGAGACCCCCATAAGGCCTGAAAAATCTGGAGTGTTATCTAAGTCTACAGAAAAGGGGCCTAAGGAGGACTCAATCCTGTTACCGGAGAAGCCTGCATTTAATGAGAAGGGAGAACCGATGTTTCCTCCTTTTTTTTGGGTGAGAGAGGGTGATGACAATGACGGTTGTATTGAGAAATTGAGTAGTCAACAAATGGAAGGTGATCACACCCAGGATACACTGGGAAAGGCTCCTTGTTTTAGTGATATCAAGGATTCAGATGATCAAAGCCCCATTAAAATGATCAACACTGTAAGTAATTCTTCAGAATACAAAAAAGCCTATGTATGACTTGGAACTTGGAAGTTATACAAAAAATTGATTGACTTGAGTGAGTAGAGTGCTCCTGGATGGCACAGTCAGACACCACTGAGCCAAAGCTTCTTTTTTTTTGGTTTATTTTTGGGTAAATGAGGGTATCAAGAACAAGGAACTGAAGGCCAACTGAGACAGAGTAAATGAATTTGTTAATCACTAAAATTGTGATCCATTTAATAGAAAAAGGCCACTCTACAAAATAACAGTTCCTCAATTTCAGTAACCTTACGGTTCCCATAAGTTTCTGTACCCTTATCTACAGGCTAGTAGCTTGCTTCACATGAAAGTGGAGCTCAGCCAGTCAGATTTTGTGTCAACTTGAAATGGCCTTTGGCAATTTAATTTGGTTTAGCATATATAATTTCTTATATTTTATTTTTGTTGCTTGTTCTTTCCATTCTTTTTTGAAGGGGGAAGTGTGTAGTGCAACCAAATTCACAGATGCTTTTGATAGTGAGATGTTTGAATGGACACAGAGAGCATGCTCCCCTGAACTTTGTTCCACGCCAATGAAGCAGGTATTTCATATGAATATGTTTTGTGATACCCAAAGGCCTGCAATTTACCTTCAAAGTAAGCCTTTTTGTTTAAACCCTTTTCTAATACTGGAATTCAAATAAAATGCAGGATGTAGACAAGAGTGAACTGGATGAAATTCAGGAAGATGAAAGTGATGCATTCCAACATATTTGGTCCAGACCTTCTAAAGCAGATGACCCTGTTTCAGAAAATGTGGAGGGTGTTAATGTCAATCATAGAACTTCAAATACTGATGTGGAGTTGCCTAACTTGTACTCTAAAATAAAAACTGCAAGTGATCAAAGTATGAGAAATAACTCCACAAGGAGGGATAAAGGAACCAATGAAGGAGCCCTATGCAAGCATGTTAGGAAAACCATGGATGAAGTTATGGAAGGAGTTCCTGTTATTTCAAATAAAAATGAGAATGCTCTGAGTCAGGCATATAAGGTCGATGATGGTAATAGTCTAAACTTGGTTGGCAAGACTTTTAAAAGGAATAAAAAGAATAGCTCCGATGCTATTAATATGACAAAAGTACTAGATACTTTTATATCAATTGAAGAGAATCAAGGGAGTAAGAATATGGATGTGGAGTTGCCTGTTTCGTTGCGTGAGAAATCTAAAAACAATAAAAATCTGAACTTGAAGAATAAAGATGGGAAAAGTGGTAGTAATATTAATGCCCAGTGCCAGAATGATCGCCCTAAAAGATCAAAATGCCAAAAGGCAGATATTTCTGTGACCAAAGTGCTCAAAGAACTTCCCACAAATCAAAACCCTGGAAACAAAAGTATTGGTACCCAGTTTCTGGCTTCATCTTCCCTAGAAAACAATGTAGTGGCTCTTGGTTTTGGGGAGAAAAGCAGTGGAAGGTCCAGAAAGATTAAAACCCATCCTCTAAGGGAAAACGTGAGGAAGAGACTGAAAGTCTCCACCAATTCTAGTTTACAGAAGCTATTTGAAGTTCCACATTCTTCTAAGGAGGCTGCTGAGAAGGGAACTAGAGCTTCTAGTGATGAAGTAAATTTTGAGAATGGAACTGCTGATAATCAAGTAAGAACTGAGGGTGCTCTTTGTGCTGCTAAGGACATGTTTTTGCAGAAATGTGAGAGCATCCCTGATCGAATCTGTTGTGCTTTTTGTCATTGTTCTGAAGATTCCGAGGTATTCATGTTTTTTCATTTTTCATATGTCTTTGTTGTCATAACCTCTTTCTAATTTGCAAAGCAAAATTACAGGCTTCGGGAGAGATGTTGCATTACTTCAATGGCAGGCCTGTTGCTGCAGATTACAATGGAGGGTCTAATGTTATACATTCACACAAGAATTGCACTGAATGGTGTGAAACTCCTTCAAACAAAAGAAAAGATATTGCTTTTCTATTTGTGATATCTGTCCCTTTAATGTTAGGCATTAAAGCATTCTTCATTTGTGCTCATTTGTCCCTTTCATGGGTTTGACTGAATTAACCTATTCTTTATCAAGTTTTGTTAGGCATTAGAGCATGCTTCATTTGTTGATGACTTTGAGTGTTCTGGTCCATGATGTGCTCAATTGTTCCCTAATTTAACTATAATTTCATCATGTGGTTCCATCAGGGAACATCTTTCAGATGCCTATATAAAGTTACACACATACATGTATCTAAATGCACATGTGCACATATCAAGCTTACCAATCTACAATGTTTTTAGTGAGAAACTATTAAATGCATATTTCTCTTTCCAAAATTGAAATGTAGGGCTCCTAATATATACTTTGAAGATGATACTGCAATCAATCTTGAAGCTGAATTGGCAAGAAGTAGAAGGATTAAGTGCTGTTGCTGTGGAATCAAGGGGGCAGCTCTTGGATGCTATGAGAAAAGCTGCCGCAAGAGCTTTCATGTTCCCTGTGCAAAGTTGGTTCAGCAATGCCGATGGGATACTGTAAGCATTCCATCTTATTCTCTTGAACCTCGAATAAAATGTCCTATGAGAACTAATTTTTCTCATATTCTTTCTTTACCTAATGCATTGATTGGTGGAGCTAAGGCAGTAGATTTTGATTTTTTTTTATTATTTTTTTCACAACAGGAAAACTTTGTCATTCTCTGCCCCCTTCATTCCTCTTCCAAACTGCCCAATGAATTTTCTCGACCTCAAGGGCTGAAGAGAAAGAGATCAAAGAGATCAATCCTGAAAGGGTATGCCTTCTGCATTTTGTTTCCTTGGACTTCTTTTATAGGTTTTTGCAATGATAGCATAAAGGCTCTTCTGGATTTTGGTGCCTTATCTCACAAATATCATCTTACATCTTTTTGAATTGTGCTGAAATTTAACTGACTTGACCAGAGAGTCACATGCCCGGCAAGCTGAAGTGGTAATTAAACATTCTTCTACTACAAGGCAGCCATGGAGACACCTTGGATGTAGCAATTGGCTTATTTGTTGCTCGGCTCTCACAGTTGCAGAGAAGGTAAGGCAGAACTTTAGGTAGCTTTTCTGTGGTGGTAAATAATACTGTGATGGTTTTTGAATAATTGGAACTGCAGGAAATTGTTTCTGAATTTGCGAAATTGGCTGGGGTTTCGGTTTCTAAGACATGGAGATCCAATGTGACCCATGTCATTGCTTCAACGGATGAGAATGGGGCTTGCAAGAGAACCTTTAAGGTTTTGATGGGTATCTTGGAAGGAAAATGGATATTGAAGATTGATTGTAAGCACAAGTTGATTCTTTTGTACATTTATCAAACTTACTGATCACTATATTAAATTCTAAAAGGTTCATGAAATGTAATATCTCTTTGTTTTTAATTGTTGATGTTCAGGGATAATAGCTTGCATGAAAGCTATGGAGCCTGTTGACAAGGAACAATATGAAATCAATGTTGATATCCATGGAGTCAGGGATGGTCCTCGTCTGGGAAGGCTTCGAGTCTTGAACAAGGTTATTTGCTCATCAATTACTAACTGGTGTAGCTAATTAGCTATTATAGTTACCATGGTTTTCAAGGTGCAGAGGTGAAGCTAGGTGACAGGGGAGTGCCTTATTGCCTATTTGCCTATGCGATGAGTTTTTTAAAATAAAAAATAAAAATCTTAAGTTTGTTCCCTAGGTTTCATAGTAATAAGCAGTAATCTTTAACTAATAATTACTATAATCCTCATGAAATAAATATAAACCCCATATCAAAAGATAGAAAATCAACATTTATGACAAGAAAGATAAGAAAAGAAAGAAAACATGCGAAACATAAGGGCTGGGACCTATTCACCAAAAAAGGGCTTGAGTCCTTGTTTGGTCCTAGGAAGAAGATGAAGAAGTCCTATTGATTGTTCTTATGTGTCCAATTGGATAAAATCTTCAAGTTATTTCTTACTTATCAATTCAGGTTTAAAGTCTTCAAGACTATTGCCACTGATTTGTGTATCGATTGAACCCAAACAAATAGGAAAATAATAAAAGAAACTAGTATAAGAGTAATAATATTAATAATATAAACCCACAATACGAATAAGCTAATCTAGTAAAATCTATTGTACTAGGTGTTTGGGCATGGTGATCCTCCAAGAGCGCCTTATTGGTTATTGCCTAGGTGTTGCGATGACAAATGACAACTATGGTAATTGCATATTTGTAATAGACTAATAGTCCCCAATTTCATACAACATATCAGATATGAATCAATTGTAATTTACATTTGTATGGAAAATGCACATGAACCTATTATAATTTGTAAATTTATACTCAAGATAATTTATGCAAAATGCTTAAAAATGAATGTGTTATAAATCTATGATTTACACATGGGAACAGGAAACCCCTAAATCAAGTCAACTTAATTTGCAAAATATTTATTTGTTACACAGTTTTACAAGTGCCAATATACTTTTTTACAATATTTTAATTAAATTTAAAAATATTTAGATATGTATCATCTGTATCAGCCTTAGGGCTGCAACTTGGGTCAGGTTAGCCCAAAACCAACCCATAAAAGTTGGGTTGAGTTAGGTTGGATTGGCAATTGGGTTAGGGTTGAGCCCTTGGGCAACCGTCTCTGGTTCTACTATTGCTAATGTACATATGTATTGTAGTCCTACTACATACAATCATAATCCATTTATCTTAAATATAGCCATATATATGCCCATATGGCTATATTTGTAGGCATTGATTTTTTTTTTCATTTATAGGTATTTATCTTTTTTGTTTTGTTTTCTTCTAATTTTTCTTTTTTCCATATATGTTGTGCTAATGTATGATGTTTCACATTATTGGTTTGATCTTGTTGGTTGCCATTAGTGATTTTCATTCCATAATTTTGTGCTTTATTGTTGCTGATTTCATGATTTTAAATTTTCAATATGTGATCTATCATAATTCATGATTGACTTTAATCATTTGAAAAATTTCTTTTTTTCCCTCACATTTTGTACTAAAAGAACCAATGAAAACTTCAAACAAGCAAATACCAATAAAACATTTGTTCAATATATGGTCATTAAAGTTGACTCTAGGTCTCTTGATCAAAGACCATGAGAATTTGGGATATTTTAAGAGGATGGGAGAAATGAGCCTAGCCCAATCTGAAGCTTTACATTGGGTTAGGGTTAGGGTTAGGGTTGATTAGGTTGGGTTGAAGGACAGGTTGGGCGTTCAGAACCTTGGATTGGACTATGGTTGACCTCAACCTGACCTAACCTGGCCCAACTACCCTAAACCAGCCTATATCTATCCAAGACAAAGAGAAAGGGTGGGGTGGTCTTGATGTAGTTGAGTTCTGTGTGTATTGTACGCTTTACTGCAAATAAGGAATACTTATTGGCATGTATCCACTTTGTTGTATCAATACTTTGAACCTTGCTTACGTCAATAACAGGTTCTGGTGGATTAATAAACCATAATTTTTTGTTTTTTTTTTATCAGCACTAAGGATTTCTTTTAGCTTTTTTATTCCATTTTGACATGACTTTTGAAAACATTTTTGCATGCATTTCTTGCTATTCTATTTTCTGGTCATGTTTCAAACTTCAGTTAAAAGTTCATAGTGTTGTTGGTTACAATTATAAAAGTATAAAATACAGTAGGTGCTAAGCTTTTGTAGAATTGAGGTGGGTTCTCACTTTCAACGTGCAGCATCCAAAGCTTTTCAATGGGTTTATGTTCTATTTTACTGGAGAATTTATGCCTTCATACAAGGGTTATCTGCAAGACTTGGTTGTTGCTGCTGGAGGAACTGTTCTACAGAGGAAGCCCATTTCAAGAGATCAGGAAAGACTATTGTGCGGGTCCTCTAAATCTGAAATCTTCATAATTTACAGTGTTGATCTACCTGATAAGTGTGATCCTGGAAAGAAGACTATGATTTGTAATCGCAGGCGAAGCGATGCAGAGGTGCTGGCAAATTCAACTGGAGCCAAGGTGGCAAGCAGTGCATGGATCTTGGACTCAATTGCTGGCTGCAAGTGCAGAAATTTCTATAATAAGCGTTTATTATTTTGAGGCCGATGCCATTGTTTATTACAGATCAACATCCTTGTAATGGTTCATGCTTTGTGTAAATATAGTTCATCCAACTTACTAGTGGCCTTGAATCTTGCAAAAGACATGAATTTCTCTCCCTAATTATGAACTGTAATATATATCCATCCATTCAAGCAGAGAAATATGAACTGTTGTACCATAGACATTTGTTGCTTAAATTCTTATTCTGAGAAATCAAAAGAAAAACTTTAAGGTTGTGTGCATATATACCATTTAGAACTGGACCTTGGTTATCTACTTATCTCCACCATGGAGATGATATTTTTTTTTTACTTACTGTATTTTTTTGAGGGAGAATAAGGAATTGGGATTTGCTCATCACGTAGTGCTCCTCACACTGACCTCATGTGTGGCCGGGACATGCTGTGAGGAACACTATTTTAAACATTTATTGCTTTTTGTTTGATTGGGTGTTTCAAATAACACCCCATAAAGCTATCTCCCACGTCAGCTTAACTTTGTTTTCCCAAACAGTTCATGCAAACATTTCCGTTTTTTAATGTTTATTTGATAAACATTGAAAACAGTGGTTTTATGCACAATAAACACTACTGCCCAAATGGTGCTGATTTTCCCATAAACGCCCACCGAATAAAAAAGATAGATGTACAATGTACAACATAAAAAAAGAAAAAGGGGGGCATAGAGTTGCTATTATACAAGATTGATCTATGAACACTACTTTTTGCCAAACTATCAGCTAAAGAATTAAATTCTCTTGAAGCCCATTTAAAGGAAGCTCTAACTGAATGCGTAGGTGTCTTGCTTCTGCCATATAATGGAGGACACTCCAAGTCCAAGGCCTTCCGTGATATCTACTTAACCATTTAATGGTGTATCCACCACTAATAACTGAGGCCCAAATCACCTCGCCTTGGATTTCCTAAAGAGTTTCCATCGAAATTGAGAGTAATCTCAATACTAACAATTAATGAGTTTCCATCGAAATTGAGAGTAATCTCAATACTAAGAATTAATGGGAACCTAAGTGAGCTGCATATCAAGAAAAGGAGAGGGGACTCAATGTTTCCATTCATGTCTTCTATTGAGAACCCAGCAAACTCATCACAAGTTGAAGCCCACAAATTATACAAAGTGACCACTCTATCTTCTAACTCTTGATAAGTTTTGTTATCATGAGGTTTCTCTCTTTCCAAATTCCCCACATAACAGCTTAGTTTGATTGCGAATGCCACAGGTGTTGGAAGGTTAGGATCCATCATATGGATGGCTGAACCATGTTAGATGGCTGTGTGAAATTTCAAAATTTCCTAGTCTTTTTTGGGGATCAGATTCCTAATCCTGCATTTTTCAGGATAGGTCTTGCATTGAACCGGACCGGATTTGAAACCAAACTGATGAGGGGTAATTTGGCACGACCTAGTAAGTAAAGGTCATGTGGACGTGATCTGCCAGTAGGTTGACAACTCAGCAAGAGGAGCCTAGTTAGTAGTCTTCAGAGCTCGGGTGATTCGGTCACCTCGGTATGGAGGCACCTCAGCACCTAAGCCAATTCGGGTCCCAGGAACCGAAGTGACACATAATCGAATCCAGAAGCTTCCGAACCTCCCGGGATCATGCCACGTAATAACAGGCCTTATCCTCTCCCTGCCCGGATCGGGAGGTAACGATATACTTCATTGACTGATACGTTACTCCCCATCTAAAGCGGAAATGAATCTCATCTACTTGGTCCGAAGATCCTAGAACCGTTTCGTGAGACCCACGACAACTCAACTATATAAGGGCATCAACCCCTCCAGGGCCCAGGTACGCGCGATTATTTACATACAAGATCTCTAGTATTCAAGCTTTTAGCTCGCAACAATTGCAAGAATACTAACTTAAGCATCAGAGCGACCTCACCGGGTTATCCACCCTGATCTCTCTGATCTTTGTTTTGTAGTTTGATCAAGCTCGCCACACGAGCAACATCCAGGCAACCTTCCAGCTAGGAGCTTTCAGATTGCGCATCATCAATTGACGCCGTCTGTGGGAAACGATAGAAAGGTCATCCCAATCCTAGTCACAATCTCAACCTCAATGGCATCTTCCAACCACAACAGAAAGAGAGACATAAACGTCATTGGGGGGAAAATTCCTCAGTTACATAGTGAATCGACGTGATATCGAAGCCAACCTGGATAAAATCAAGGCTATCTTAGAAATGCGACCACCCCAGAAAATCAAGGAGGTACAATGACTGACTGGCCGGGTAGGTGCCCCAAACTGATTTATGTCTAAATTGGTAGGTCGGTGCCCCCCCTTTTTTAAGGCAATCAAGAAGAATGAAACTTTTGAATGGACTGAAGAGTGCCAATTCGCATTTGATGAGCTGAAAAGGTACCTAAGTACCGCCCCGGTTTTAACCCGACTTGAGGAAGGAGATGAATTGAAGTTGTACCTCTTCGCGAGTGATGAGGTGGTCAACTTGGTACTAATTAGAGAAGTAGACCGGGTTCAACGACCCGTCTACTATGTAAGTAAAGTGTTGCAGGACGCGGAAACCAGATATCCCGACATCGAGAAGCTGGCGTACACGCTAGTAGTAGCAACTCGGAAATTACGCCCATACTTCCAAGCCCATACCATCGTCATCCTTACTGATAGACCTCTGAGGCACATCCTTAAGCCTGAGGTGTCAGGGAGATTGACGAAGTGGTCCATCGAGCTTAGCGAGTATGACATCTGGTTCGAGCCACGACTAGCAATCAAAGCCCAAGTCTTGGTGGACTTCGTAGCAGAATGCACGTTCAGCACATCGGCCCCTGAGCTGATTGAGCCTACTAACATATCGGAGGCATCAACCAGCGCGACATTGGTCCCGGTTAGAGTAGTACCGACCTGGGACGAGGAGCCCTGGATCCTCCACGTAGACGGTTCATCCAACCAGCGAGGAAGCAGTGCAGGACTGATACTGTACGGACCAAGCGAGGTGAAGCTAGAGTACACTCTCCGGTTCGGATTTGAGGCGTCGAACAACGAGGTGGAGTATGAAGCATTAATTGCCAGGCTAAACTTAGCGAAAGAAATGAGAACAAAACATCTCATCATGTGCAACGATTCCTAACTGGTGGTCAACCAAGTCAATGGTGACTACAAAGCACGCGACTCGACTATGGCGATCTACTTAACCAAAGTCAGGGAGATCCTACTAGGCTTCAGCTCTTGTCTCATTAGGCAAATTCTAAGGTTCAAGAACGCTGAGGCCGACGCCTTATCACGACTAGCAAGTACCGACGACAACACCATGAGAACTGTGTACATAGAGGACCTACCTCGGCCCAGCATTTTCGAGGGGGCAGAAGAGGTCGCTCCCGTGTTGCAAGGGGAACTGAGCTGGATTGACTCGCTCGTTGATTATCTGCTCCACGGGACCCTATCTGCAGAACACAATGCAACTCGAAGGGTTGAGCGTCAATCAGCCCGGTACGTCCTTATAGACGGACGACTGTACAGGAGATCTTTCACGCTTCCCTACCTACGTTGCCTGCGACCCTTAGAAGCTGAGTTCATACTTCGCGATATCCATGATGGATTATGCAGAGGACACTTGGGGGGCAGAGCCCTCGCCCAAAAAGCATTAAGGCAGGGCTACTATTGGCCCACAATGAAGGCAGACGCACTCGAGCTCGTAATAAAATGCGACAGATGTCAGAGGCATGCTAACATCCTCCATCAACCTACTACTAATTTGAAGTATCTTACTAGCCTGTGGCCCTTCGCACAATGAGGAATCAACATCCTTGGTCCTTTTCCGCCGATGACCGGGCAGAGGAAGTTCTTGCTCATGGTAGTGGACTACTTCACGAAGTGCATGGAAGCCGAACCGTTGGTAAATGTTACAACCCAAAATGTGCAAAATTTCTTTTGGAAAAGTATTGTGTGCTGTTTCGGACTACCCAAAGTCTTGATTTTGGATAACGGGAAACAATTTGAGGACATCAAATTCCAGAATTAGTGCATCGAGATGGGGATTCAACAAAATTTCACTTTGGTAGCACATCCACAAGCAAATGGATAGGCCGAAGTGACGAACAAGGCTATCCTTTCCTGACTAGAAGCCTACCTAGCATGAATTAAAGTGTTGTGGGTGGACGAGCTACCCAATGTCCTTTGGGCCTATCGGACTACCATCAAGACCGTGACCGGTGAGACACCCTTCAACCTCACATACGGGACAAAAGTCGTGATCCCAACAGAGATTGAAGTACCGACATTGGGACTCGAAGCTTACAACGAAGAGGCAAACAACGATGAGCTCAAAACTAAGTTGGACCTCGTCGAGGAGGTATGCGATTTGGCCCACATTCGAATTGCAGCTTACTAGCAACGAGTAGCTCGGTATTATAATGCCCGGGTCAAGAAGCGACTGTTCTGAGTTGGTGGCCTGGTCCTCTGTAAGGTAATGGTACTTGAGCCCAGTGTGGGTAAGCTCGGTCCGAATTAGGAAGGACCATACTGGGTGAGATGGGTGTTCGGAGAAGGAACCTATGAGCTCAAGACCATGGAAGGGAAACAAGTACCTCAAGCTTGGAATGTTGACAACCTAAGGAGATACTATCTGTAATCCTCAACGCAAACAAAAACGACTAAGTCCATTGGATCACTGAGCTAATCTTATGGATGACGAACTGGAGAGAGGACCTTAAGTCACTCCCAGAAGCCTAAGGGCTATGGTGTTGAGCTGACAAGAGATCTCGGCATGATATAAGACCCAGTTGCCTCTCTGGCATGGGCAAAGAAGTCCTAATTGCCTCTTTGGCATAGGCAGCTTAAGACCCGGTCGCCTCTTCAACACGGGCTCAATAAAACCTAGTCGCTTTGGCATGGGTAAGGCGAAGTAGCCCAGGCACAGACAGGTTGGGCATGCACCCTGCAGTGTTTGTTCACCCCGGCGTATAAAAACGATTAGATTATTCCTATTCGAGTCGAGCTTGCTAGTTCAAGAGTAATCTACACTTAGAAAAGTTTTGCTCCTATTTTGGTTTAGCTCGCCAGCTTGGGAAAAATCTATACTTAGAAAAACTTTGCACACAAAGAGTTTTGCAAAATACTTGTATTCCATTGGATAAAGCACTTCGAGTGCATAGTAACAAAAAAAAAAGAAAAAAAGTTTACAACTGTTTAGCCGATCTCAGAGGCTTGGGAATTCAAGTATTTACAAAGGGGGTCCAAGAAAAGAGGTATCAGTCAGTTCAGGGC